TGTGGCTCAAGTGGTAGAGCGCTAGCCTTGAGCTGAAGAGCTGAGGGACAGCACCCAGGCCCAGAGTTCAGGCCCCATGACCGGACCCCCTCCCCCCCCCAAAAAAAAAGAATCTCATGGCTTTTCCTGCACAGACTGACTTCAAATCAAGATCCTCAGATCTCAGTCTCCTATGTAGCTAGGATTATAGATATAAGCCACCAGCACTGAAATAGATAATTATAATTAATATAATTATTATAACTAAGCCAGGCGCTGGTGGCTCACACTTGTAGTACTGGCTACTCAGGAGGCTGAGATCTGAGGATATTGGTTCAAAGCCAGCCCAGGCAGGAAAGTCCATGAGACACTTATCTCCAATTAACCACCAGAAAACCGGAAGTGGCACTGTGGCTCACGTGGTAGAGCGCTTGCCTTGAACTGAAGAGCTGAGGGGCAGCACCCAGGCCCAGAGTTCAAGCCCCATGACCAACTATATATATGTATGTATGTATGTGTAAATATAATTGTCTTAGGTTTTAAAAGACTTAAAGACCCTATCTATGTAACTGGGAGTACAGACATACACCCACACACCATCATACCCATCTTGCTGAATAGGATGCGGGGGGGTCTCCCTAAATTTGTCTAGGCTGGCCTTGAATATTGATCCTTCCCTTCTAAGTAACTAGGATTACAGATGTGAGCCACTGTGTTGGACTGAGTTGTCAACATTCTTACCACTATCTTATACTTACTTTATTTCATTTACGAAAAGACTTATAATAATTAGCTCTTTAAATGAAATTAGTGTTTTTGAGCAAGAGAATTAAAGATATTTCAAAAATCTTATATTCAAGTCCATCTACTTGATAAAATTAGAGAACTGAACCCATATTTGCACTGTTCAAAACAATGCTGTTATTCAGTTGTCTAGTTCAGATTATTATTGTAATAGTTTGTTCTCATCTAGATGTACAACTTATTCGGCAGCTCTGTTGGAGATTTTCTCTGTAATCCTAGCTCTTCAGGAGGCTGAGAATTGGAGGATCACAATTCAAGGTCAGTCTAGGCAGGAAAATTCTCCAAAATATCCAGCAAATATCTGTGGTGGGGGTGTGGTAGAGTACTGGGCAATACTAGCAAGAAAGAAAGAAAGAAAAAAAAGTAAGAAAGAAAGAAAGGAGAAGAAAAGAAAGAAAAAGAAAACCCAAATGAAAAACGGTGGGAAAAACAATTAAAAAAAAAAAAGGAGCTAGGTGCCAGTGATTAGCTACTCAGGAGGCTGAGATCTGAAGATCACGGTTTGAAGCCAGCTCGGACAGAAAAGTCCCTGTGAGACTCTTATCTAAAATTAACCACTCAAAAACCGGAAAGTAGTGCTGTGGCTCAAGTGGTAGAGCGCTAGTTTTTAAGCACAAAGAGGCTT